CCAGCCCAGGTCACATCCAAGGACCATAGGGTGTTAGAATCTTGGGCATCTTAGTATTCTGCCCGTCATAGCCTAAACCATGAAGACTCAGGTCTCATCTCGTATGGCCATTCTGGATATGACCAAATGGTAGGCCCCATGCAAGGAGCTGGGGAATTCAAACAATATTCACATAAAACTTCTAAAGGAAATCACAAGCCAAGCATGGCAATGTCTGCATGTCATCCAGAACTTGGGAGGTAGACAGCAGAGGATCAGATGTTCAAGGCCAACCTTGGTTACACAGAGAGTTTGAGGCCAGCCTGAGTTACATGAAACAGCAGCGAGAGTAACAATAACAACATTAAATTGAAACAGTACTCCTCTAGCATTAACAGCTTTCCCACGATGCCAAAGTTGGCAAGAAGCATCGAAGCTTTAATATAACCAAATGGCTTTTTGATATTAAAAAAAAACAAAAAACCCACTGTTTTCTTGGCATATGGGAGCCACTGTCAGAAATATGAAATGCTGACAACAGTCACATTCTGTAATCCATAGGGTTATTATTTCCACCCTCAAAAGCCCCTGGTTTGGCTTCCAGCTTGCAGTCAGAGGAGCAGCTGTTGGGCTCTGGGAGTCTGCACGGACGAGTCGGTTCTAACCTGGTGGTGTACGAGCCCCTGCTGCCCAGGGTTGAAATCCTGGGAAGCGTGTCCATCCAAAGCCCCGCACAGCAAAGTTCAGAAGCAATGAGCACAGGTGCACCTTCCCACTGGACTCTTTGAAAGCTCCTTGGGAGGCCCCACCACACTTCCAGGACTGAGAGTTGCTACTCTAGCCCCTAACTTGAACACTAAAATCTCTTTTGAAACAGTTCCAAAGAGTTTTGAAGATGGTTCAATCCATAAAGGGCTTGCCTTGAGGACATGAAAACCCGAGTTCAGTCCCCAGGAACCCACATAAAGCTGCAGGAAGTGGCATGAGTGGGGGTGCACACTTGGGCTCACAGCACTGGGGAGGTACAGACAGGAGGGTCCCTAAAGCTTGCTGACCAGCCAGCCTGGCCTAATGGGTGGGTTTAACATTTATTCTTCCCGCCAGCAGCCTGGATCCCACCACTGTCTCAGTCCCCAAATGACACTATATTAATTATGAAGCTCTTGGCTGTTTGCTATGGTTTCTTAATGGCTAACTCTAACTTAATTATTAATCCATAATTACTAATATATATATTTTTATAAGGTCTTATCTTACCGAGACTTGTGCCCTCTCCTCCCAGGATCACATAGTGACTCCCTACTCTTGACTACATTTCCCAGAATCCTCCTCGACTCCTAGTCCCACCTATCTTGCTTCCCTATTGGCCAACAGTGCTTTATTCAACAACCAATAAGAAAACATATACACAGAAGGACTTCCCCCCCCCATCAAGTGGGCTTCAAGCAAATGAGAGACCCTGTCTCAAAGGTGATGGAGAGCCAAAGATGGCACCCAGGGGTGTCCTCTGGCCTCCACAGACACGGGCATGGTGGTTCATGCAGGAAAGTTAATGTACATTTATGTAGCCTGTGCTACATAGTGAGGCCCTTTCTCAAAAGAGAGAGAGAGAGAGAGAAGAGAGAGAAGAGAGAGGAAAGAGAGCAAGCAAGAGGCATGGGTGCAGGTCAGTGGTAGAGACTGGTCAACTTCAGTCTCCAGCAGGGTTTCTTTTCTCTTAAGAACAGCTCAGTAGAAGGTTGTTTTTACTTTAAAGGGTGCAGAGTTAAGTAAGAAGGTGCCCTTTTCTGCTCCCAAAGAGAAATATTTTCAGCATCAAGGGCATGGGATTAATTTTGAGGTTATAAACGCATTTTTCCAGTTTTCTATGAGTATGTGTTATCTCCAAGATTTACTACCTTCCAGAGAATGGTCCCCTGCATCTTCCTCTCCTTCTTCCCCTCCCCTGACTAAAGATGGGATTTAAAATTACCCAAATGTCCTGGTTAACTCACTAAAATCCAGAACGACATGCAGTCCACTGTCTCGTCTGCCTCCCTGTGCCTCCTCTCATCCCTAGGGTCCCCACCTCTTCCATCAAGAGTAGATCCCCATCTGGATGGGGCTGACCCTGTTCCCTGCTGATTCTCCCGAGTCCAGCTGTGCTAGTCCAAAAAGCAGACATGTATTGGCTAAGGAGACTTCAGCAAAGCTCCAAGAAGCTGGACTCCGCTTTTAAGACAATGCTGGCCTAGTGAAAGCCGTTTGAGATGGGAAGCATGTGCCCTCTGGTGCCTGGGGTCTGAAGAGCAAGCTCATCCCTTCATATCACACACTTCCACAAAGTCCTGGGAGTCATTCCAGTGGGCAGAAAAACAGGGTTTCTGCTCAGACAACCATTGTCACAGTCCTCTTCCCACGCACATGTTCCCCAAACATTCATTGAGAATGGGTTAAATAACAGACACCCCACTAAACCATGGTAGCCCACCATCACCTTACTCCACCAATAAATGTTCAGAGAAACGTGCAAGCATGAGGACCAAGTTTGACCCCTAGCACCTGTGTGATAAATCAAGAATGGCAGCACACATCTGAAATCCCAACACTAGACAGAAGAAAAAGAGGAAGAGGAAAGGAAGAAGAAGAAGAAGAAGAAGAAGAAGAAGAAGAAGAAGAAGAAGAAGAAGAAGAAGAAGAAGAAGAAGAAGAAAGACGGGTTTCTGTAGTTCATAAGCCAGACACTCTAGCTTAACAGGCAAGTTCCAAGTCAATGAGAGATTCTGTCTAAACAAAAAGGTGGATGGTGCGTGAGAAACAACACCCACCACACTCACCTCCACATACGTGCACACTCAGGAACACAGACACAAAGGAAAAAGGATTAAAAAAAAAAGAATGCTTCCATCATACTAGAACTGACCACAGCCCCCAAATTAAATGCTTTGGAGGACTTGGAAAGTATGGTTCTGAGTCATGTTTTTACATCTAATTTGGGTTTCTAAAGGGAACTGTTGGTGAAGTTCACTTCTTTCTCTGTTTTTAATCCTTCGAGAAATTCAAGGTTTCCACTCATCCCGCAGGAGATGTTGGCACACACAGCAGTCCAGACCCCTCACAACAGCAGCTCCTTCTGCAGAGGGAAAGGAAATGCATGGACAATTGCTAAGAGCAGGACCGGCCCTTAGAGGGAAACTCCAGAGAAAACCTAAGGGACATAAGGCACTGATTTGCCCACTGGTGCTCACTTCTGGGAGAATCAATGGCCCTCTCCCGAGTCCTTGGGAGGTGGATACATCTAGGAAACTCATGAATCCCAAACTGGCCACTGTGAGAAGGCATGGTTAGGGGATATAACAGTGAAATTGTTCCTTGTAGCATTTAGGATCGTTTATTACGTTTTTAATACAAAGGAGCCTCAGGGCTAGGGAGGTGGCTCAGGAGGTAAAGTGTTGCTTTGACAGCACGAGGACCTGAGTCCAGATTCCCAGCATGCATATAAAAAGCCAGGTGCGGCAGCAGGCGGCTGTAATCCCAGGACTGCAGAGGCAGAGACCTGTAGGTTCCTGGAGGTTGCTGGCCAGTCAGCCTAGCTGAATTGATGGATAGCAGCTGAAGAATGACAGTCGAGGTTGTCCTCTGGCCTCTACACATACCCGCACACATAATACACCTACCTGCATGTTGTACAAACTCGAACACACACTCCCCCAATTATTTTAAGATGGAATTTTAGCATCTACAAGAATAGCTTTATTGAAACACACAATCATGCATGTGCGTGTGTGTACATGCACATGCACACACAAGCATTCATGTTGACATCAGGCATCTTCCCCAGTCATTCAACCTTATTTTCTGACAGTCTCTCACTGAGCCTAGAACTTACCCACACACCCAGTCTAGCTGGCCAGCAAGCCCCAGGGATCATCCTGTCTCTGCCTTCCGAGTTCTGGGATCACAGCCATGCACCAACACCACACCTGGCCTTTGTAATGCAAGTTTTGGGGATCAAACTTGGATCCTCATAAGTACACAGAAAGCACTTTGCTGAATAAGCTACCTCCCCAGCCCCAACCAAAGTCACATCTGCACTCAATAACCACGTTGTATAGTTGGAACAAAAAAAACTACATGGTCAACAAATCCTAAAGTGTTTACCATCTGGCCTTTGAGGAGAAAATTTGTCAACCTCTACGATAAGATAGGAGAATTCTGCATCCGTGCAACAAAATGAAGGGTTTACACAGTTGACTCCTTAATGGACCTGATTAAACAGTCATGCTGGGACCAATGATATTCTCTACTAAGTTAAATACCCACAGTGAGGATCCACTCACACAGCTTCAGCAGAACGGCTTCCTGATGATGCACCTGGCCAAGGGAATTGTCCACAACCCTCATCACTCTCTTAGCATCACCTAGGAATCACACGGCAACCACCATTTATTAGCCTGGGTCCCCTAAAAGAGGAACAGGGCTGATAGAATATAGTCATGTATCAAAGGGGGGTTTATTAGACTGACTAAAAGACATGGTCCTTTTAGTCCAACAATGGCTGTCTCACGGTAGAGATACCAAGAATACAGTAGTTGTTCAGTCCATGAGGCTGAATGTCTCAGCAGTCCCGACAGGGCACTGAAGTCCTGGAGAGCTACTGGTCTTCAGTCTGCGTCAGAATCCCCCCAAAAGTAGGTTCTAATATTGGAGAAGGGATGTCCTCACAACGGGCTAGATGAACTTGCGGATGAGAGCCCAAGCAAGCAGATAGAAAGCTGTTTCCTTCTGCCATGCCCATCTGGACGGCCTTCCACCAGAGGGTGTCACCCACATTTAGGTTCAGCCTTCCTGCTTGAAATGCTCTGATCAAGGCAACCCCTCACGGTAGTGTCAAGAGGCTCTTGGAAGAGAGTGCATTGTCATCTCTTGCGGTGCCTTGTAGTCATACACCACAGAATGAACCCTGTTCATGCTAGGAAAGCAACAAGCACAGATCCGGGATCCTGGAATACAGCCTTTCTCTTCTTGCTTGTCTGAAACAGATTGGAGGCTACCGACCCCTCTGGGACCCGTGAATCCGCCTCTCGCCAACTCTGGTCTGAGTGACAGCAAGGCTGCAGGGCGAAGCCGCGAATTGTCTCCTTCAACAGCAAAGAGCTTCCGGATATACAACGTGAGTCCTCTTTCTTCTCCTAACCTGGTGCAGACCGAGAAGATGTGGCCCCACAGATGGGTGAACTGAAAAAATGAGGCACGGCGGGTGGGTAGGGTGGGTGGACCAGAGGGACAGGAGTGAGTGGTTTTACCTCACCAGGATCCCCACCTTGACCCTGTCTTGGGCCTGCCACAGATTAGAGAGAAATGAACCCCTATTGGTTTTAAAATGGTACTGCAAGACCTGGGAAATCTTTCAAAAGAAGAAATTCCCATATTCAGTTCTCTGAGGCTCTTGGTGGCATTCTCCACCACTGGACACCTCCGTTCTGCCTCATTGCCCTGAGTTTCTGCTATGTGTGTGTCAGCTGCATAAGGTGTTGTGGGTCTGGTCTTTGCCTCTTGATACCCTGGAGGCCTTTTTTGTCTTTCCTACCACTAATGGGTTAACTGATTCTCCCCAAAGGTAATAGGCTCATTTCATTTTGTGAGAAATGTGTTTCCCCAACACATCAGAGATATTCTGAATCTTTCATCCCTAATACATACAGATCTCCAGAAAATCCAAATCCAACTGCTCACTTGGGAGACAAGTGTTCTGTGGGGAACTTCCTACACAGTGTGTGATCCTGCGGGGCTCGGGAACGCCTTCTCAGAGTCAATCTGATGTCGAAGCACAGGGCCACCCGCCATCCATGCAGGTGGATAAAACTCAGGTGCTGATCACAAGAATCGGGACAGGTTCAAATAGAGAGACAGTAGCAGTAAGTCACACAGGGACAGAAACCCTTTGAGAGGGTGCTGTGGGAGTCCTGAGGAAAGCTAGCTCTGTTAAGGGTTTGGAACAGTCTCCGGAGGAAGGGATAAGATATTGGAAGCCAAAATCAGAGTCCGAGAAGATAAATGGGAGTAAGGGTGAAGGCAAGAGAATGATGGAAGTTGGGGATGAGTTAGGACGCAAGCAGAAAAGATGTAAACTTAGGTCCTGTAATAAAGACAGGATGATGGTGAATGGTGGTGATGAGGAAGATGATGGCGGCAGCGAGGCTTCTAAAGAAAGTCCACACAACAAATTGGGGTAAACATCAGAGCTGCTGGTGGTGAGAGATGGGAGACTCACTCATTTGCCACTTGCAGAGAGAGTTCCACATGAGGCCAACTCTGATCAGAGAAGATGAGGCTGCCTGTTTCCATCTGAGGTCCATCCCCAACAAGCTGGGACTCTTCACGGTGACCTGAAAGTGTCACTGCCCTGAAGCTACATAGAGACACTTAAAATCTGACACCATAGAAGGCGACAAGACTGAGGAAATCCCGCCTTTCACCTTGTCGAGCCTCAGTTTCCCCATCTGGGAAGGCAGAGGCTTGACTCCTGAGATCCTACTGGCCTCTGAAGTCTGTCAGCTCCTCCATCCCACTTCTAGGATAGCTATCTCCCTGTCTGGTGTCTTTCTGGCCAGTACTAGAAGAAACAAAAACACTGCCTTATTTCCTGCTACGTGGGAGACAGGATGTGGCTTAACTCCCTCACTGGGACCAAGTTTCTGTGGTGAGTCCGGCCTCCCACTCCCCAGTGCACCCTCACCCTGCCAGATGCGGAGTTGGGAGGAGCAGGGACACTCAGCTGTCAGCTGCCCAGATCCACCAGCCACCATTCTCAGTTACTGGCCATATTCCTGGCTCTGTGGAAACAATGAAATCAAGATGTGGATAGAGATAGTAATTGGCAAGAGTCCTCCACTAACAAGGAAGCCAAGCAGTCCTGGGAAAAGCCCCCCCCCCTCGGGAGGAGTCAAGGACACTCTCCTACTGGCCACACATGGGCAGATCAAGAGGGGTACTAATGGCACAAGAGAAACTGGTGTCGTCCAGGAAGAATCTGGGACCTGTTGATGTTGACAGTCCAAAGGGGCAGGGCAAGAAGAGAGAAATGAAATGGGGTGATGTAGTCAGAAACTAGGAAAGCCATGGAGACCACGCATATCGGTTATTTTTCTAGTGACCATGGCAAAATACCGGATGTGAGCAGCTGTACAAGGCAGGCTTATTTGGTCTCACAGTTCAAGGATCTACCTGGAAGGGAAAGCGTGGCGGCAAGAGCACGAGGCAACGATGCTTCTTAGACGCCTTTCTTTTTACTCAGCCCATAACCCCACTTTCTCACAGAGGCAAGATGAGAGGCAAGAGTCACATCTTGCATCTGAGAAGGCTGCTTTCCACCCCCTGAGCACTCTGAATATGACCTGGTGTGTGTGTGTGTGTGTGTGTGTGTGTGTGTGTGTGTGTGTGTGTGTGTGTAGGCGCATGCGCATGCACGCAAACATGTGGAAGCCAGAAGCCAGCGTTTGAGTGCCTTCCCCAATCATTCTTCCCAGTTTTGTTTTGTTTTTGTTGTTTTGAGACGGAGTCCCTCCCTGAAACTGGAGCTTGCTGACTGAGCTGGACTGACAGGTCAGTGAGCTCCAGGAATCTCCTGCCACCGCTTCCCCCAGCACCAGCATTACACATGTGTGTTGCTATAACTGGCTTCGTATGTGAGTGCTGAGAATCCAAACTCAGAACCCCATGCTTGCACACTTCATGCTCGCACAGTTTGCCCTGACTGAGCCCCATGGGTCACTTTGCATCTAAATTATCAAGGCTGGGGGAGGGGGAACACCTTGATTGATGTCCCTATGGAGCTGAGTGAAGAGTGGAGATCCCATAGTGAATTGGTGTGGTTCTGACTGGGACTAAGCCAGTGCTGTGGCCCTCCATGACCGGTGCTAGATTCCTGGAAGAAAGTGGAGGGCGTGGCTCTCTCCTCTGTCTCTCGAGATAGCAGAAGGCAAACGTCGATGAAATCCCATCTCATCAACGAGAGGCATGATGAGAGCTGCCTGTTAGAGAATATAGTTGTCTTATGGTGTGTCCATGGTGACTGGTCCTTTGCAGGCGCGCGTGTCCTGTCTGCCCCAGCAGAGCCCTTTCCGACACCTCATGGACTTGAAGGCAGAGAAGAGACTGGCAGGCTGGAAGGAGCGCCGTAGCCGCTTTGGTGACATCAGCATGCACAAGTGTTATCAGTTTGGGCAGATCTTCTCTCCTTTCCAGGCTCTGGCCACCACAGTGAGTTTCCACCATGATGAGTTCCAAATTAATTCGGGGGTTGGGGGGCATTAATGCCAAACCTTTTCAGCAGTGTATTAGTCAGTTCTGGCCCCAATGATGCTGAATAACAAAGGACTGAACTCAGTATCTTATAAATGGCAGGCATCTGTTCCCCTGACTCATAATCTGCAGAGAAGCACACTTCTTCCACTCTTGCTCACTGCCAGCTCACAGACCGGGAGGGTGTAAAGAGTTGAAGACCAGCCTCCCACCTGCCACCGTACATGGTCTCTTGCATTGTGCGGGGACACTGACCTGTCAGAGAAGTCCAGGGGAAGATTGGAAGGCAGTGGCTACAGCTTTGATGTGATAATTTCAAGGGGGAGAGGTAGACTGGGAAGAAGGGACAATTGTCATTGCCATCCTGTGGTCTGAAAACTTGGGTGTGCCTCTGTGCTACCTGGAAAGCCTGATGAAGGGGCAGATTCCAGGGGCTGAGGAGATGACTCCATGGGATGTGTGAGCAAGAGGGCCTGAGTTCAAACTCCTGGGCATTCACACGAAAAGCTTGGCATGGCCCCTTCTGTGCCTGTAATTCTAGCACTGTGGGGGGAGAGGGGGCAGAAACTGGAGGGTCCCTGGGGCATAGCAGATGCCAGTAGAGCAAGGGTTCAGTGAGAGAGACCCTAATCTTAAGAGAATAAGGTAGAGAATGATAGAGTAGAACATCTGCCATCCTCTCTGGTCTCCATGTAGCCATGCACGCGCACGCACACACACACACACACACACACACACACACACACACACACACACACACACCTCTGATTCACACACTTGCCTCTGATTCCCAAGCTTTCATGATTGGGATTCAGAGCATTCTGGACAGGAGGGGGCTTGTAACTGGCTTCCTAAATGACTCTGTATCTATTGCCTTTGTAAGTTATTGCTGAGTCAGCACACCCAACCTTGCTCCTGCCAGCCGTGGCACACATCAAAAATTATACATCTTGGAAGGCACAGTGGGTAAACTGAGGAGGCTGCTGATGGGGCTAAACAACCAGATCCCCAAGCGTGGAAGAGACAGAATGTCAAGTGCAATTAGTCAAAGCCCTCCGCGTGCATGCTGGGAGTGACTGCTGCACGTCTGTCCTACCGCTATGCTGATCTGAGCACCAGAGTCAGCCAGGCGATCAGAAGTGTGACAGTGTCCAAGTCTTTCTCAGAACAGTTGAAGCAGCTTGGGGTTGGATCCCAGGCATCACATCAGGAGGTCTTGAAGCTCCGTGGATGAACTGACCAGCTTATTCTGGTTTTCCCAAGACTGGAGTTCACACTTGTCCTCACAGTTTCCAGCTTTCAGCATGTGAATTCCTGAGCCTCGGGAAACCCCTAGGTCCCCATTCTAAAAGCAAATATCTCAGCTCCTTAGGACAAGAGCAAACCAGATGGGTTGTCACACTAACGGCTCCCATGTGAAGCTGAACTTGAAAACTACTTATTATTCTCCAAACTTTCTAGAAACTAGCAGGATTCCTCTTCAGTCTACTGGCCAATATTGTTCAGACACTGTGCTTGTGCTGGACCCAAACCCAGGAATGGCAATCCAAACCCTAGCTCTGAAGAGCTTGTATGCTTCCAGGGAAACACAGTTATGAACCAAAATAATGTTGCAGATGCAATTGTGATAAGTGGTTAATAAGAATAGGCATAAACTCAGAAGAAGCTAAGAGTCATCCAGATTAGCACTGCTTTCTACTAAACACACACACACACACACACACACACGCACACGCACACGCACACGCACACACACACACACACACACACACACACATGCACATGTGGTCTTCCTGCAGAACAAGTCCCTAGAAGCACATGGCTTCTCCGTGGGAAGAGACTATCTCCCATGTGATAGAAAGGAGCACTGCCCACCTATTGTGTCATGTCGTCATAGTGACTTTTCTGTTGCTGTGATAAAATACATAAGGAAGAAAGGGTTTATTTGGGCTTATGACTCCAGAGAAATAGTCCATGAATAGCAGTGACATTTGCAACATGGTAGCATCAGGAAACTGGCCGATGACATTTTTCCACAAACAGGAAGCAGAAGAGAGAACAGGAAGTGAAGTGAGGCCATAAACCCTTAAAGCCCACCCCCAGAGATGCATTTCCTCCAGCAAGGTTCCACCTCTTCTAGGCTCCACAATGTCCCCAGACAGCACCTGGGGGGGCTGAGTGCTCAAGTACATGAGCCTCTGGGTGCCATTTCTCACTCAGACATCACCTGGGTGCAGCACTGAAAACTGTGTGAAGACTTAATTTTCATGCACTCTGCCAAACGAGTGTCTCACTCACTCTCCACATAGTGGAGAAAAACATAGAGTTACTTGTCTGCAACTGTTAGTACTCCATTACAAAGCCAGGGCTTGAACCTGAAGAGGCTCAACAGGATGATCCCATTGACAGCTCTCTTTGTTGTCGTCAACAGGTGCTCTCAAACCCCATGCTCCTCCTCACCATGATTCTCTTTTGCCTCGTAGGAGATGAGAAGGCTGGTGTTGCCCCAAGACCTGCCTGTGAGTTCTCGAATGCAGAGAATAAGTACTTCATCCCTCAGTGACATGAACCTCCAGGATTTACCCCTATCTCCCACAGAGCTGGGCTTGGGAAAGGATGACAACCACCATGAAAAAGAGAAATCAGTGAACCACATTAAAACGCCTTTATTCCCCCCAATAGTTAAAGCAACAAAATATAACGACATGAAATAAAATTGCAAACTGCTGGCGGTCCCTCACTGCAAGATTTTTTACATGAAAACAATTAATATCTGGGTGTCTAAGACGGCGGAGGCAGCCTAGCAGATGACAGTGTTTAGATAGTATAAGAAATTACCATATTATGCCCTGTGTAGATGTTCTGGGGGGGGTGGGCTGAACCATTAGGAAGTATAAAAAGCACAGCCAGACCCAGCTCCTAATAACACTTTCCTAGGAATCCTGAAAACTTAGGGGAGAAGGCTGACATTCCAGGCTTCGTAAGTCCTACTCTTTGCACCATTACTCATCAGTTATCCCCAGGGTATTAGATGGTCATCTCAGGTTTAGTTCCTCACAGTGTGGCTAATCACAGAGAATATCAAATACTGTACTTATGCTATCAGAGAGAGAGAGAGAGAGAGAGGGAGAGAGAGAGAGAGAGAGAGAGAGAGAGAGAGAGAGAGAGAGAGAGAGAGAGAGAGAGAGAGAGAAATTCTGCCTCTGCCTCTGCCTCTCCCAGGTCCACAGAAAGTTCCTCCTTGGCTGGGATGCGGTGGCTCCATCTCTACCCTCACTACAAAGGAAGCTAATAAAGACCATATTGGGAATGCACTGGAAGACAAGATCTAGTATCAGGAAAAGATACATGGCCAATGAGAAAGCAATTAAGATCTGGGACGTTTGGTGGTTTATAAGCTAGACCATTACAAAGAGAAATGTCTACTTAAGCTCAATGAAAACATTCTTTTTATCATTTATAAACACCAATACTAACACTGCTCTCCCAAATGAACTCTCCCACTCTAAAGAGCTTCCATTTTCTTTGGATGCTTAAAAGAAATATATGCTCAAAATAAAAGCTGTTCAAAAGTGTTTTTAAAGATAATTACCACCAGATCTCAGTATTTGGAGACAATATGTGCTTGCACCTGGAACTTTGGGATCGTCTGTCAATGGCTTACCTTCATTGACAAGTCTGAGTTTCAGGTCACCAACTTCACTTCCAGGTCATCAATAAAATTACTAGGCCATATGGACACACATCAAACATTTGACCTTAAAGAAAAGTAGAAATAGTTTGTTCTAGAATCCAATACGAGTAACTATGGTGATACATTGCTTATGGTCTAATGAAATCATTTCAGATCAAAATGCAAAGCTAGCCACAGTCACAGAATCAGGCAGTGGTGACTTACCCCTTTAATCCCAGCAGCCATAGTAATTAGTCATAGAAGCCAGGTGGTGGTGGCACACACCTTTAGTCCCAGGACTCAAGAGACGGAGGCGGTTGGATCTCTGTGAGTGTGAGGCTAGCCTGAGCTACACAAGAAGGAATCGGCCAAAAGTGTAGCAGAGCTCAAGCCTTTAATCTCAGCACTTGTGGGATAACATGCCTGTAATTCCAGCAGTAGGGAGGTGGAGACAGGAACGATATGGCTGGGAGGAGAAAGGAATATAAGGCAGGACATGACAGGAACTCAGAGCATTTGTCTCTGAGGATTCCTGGAGACAAGACTGCCATTTCAGTTTGGTAGAGGTAAGAGCTACTGGCTTGGATGCTTTGCCTGTGATCTTCAGCCCCAATATCTGTCTCTAGGTTTTTATTATTCATGCTACAAGTAACTATAGCCAAGAAACACAGATTCAGATTACACCCAATTCCATATGCCAATCAGTAACAATTTTATGAAGTTTTTATAGTAACAAAATAAAGAAAACCATGAAAGACTTTCAGATATCTTTGTGGGGTTATCATGTGGGCAGCTTAAAGCATGATGTGGAGATCTCTGCTGCAGACCTCAGAGGCCATCACACAACGTTTTCAGTCTCATGGTTGGGAGAAACTTGTGATCTGTTGTTACATTCCAACAGGTTTAATTTGCCAGTCACAGAGATGTTAGGTGGGAGAGATGGGTAAAGAATTGCTGTTAAGGGGATAAAGACAGACTAAGATAAATTATATTTAGGCTCTAGACCTACAACATTCCAACTCCTCCACATCACTAAAGCTCTAATCAGCTAATGAGTCTTGAGGAAGTTTCTGTGGAATGTGCAGTTCTCTAAGGGGGCTCAGAGTAGGCACAGAACACACTCAGACACCAAATTCTCAGCACAAAGGAGAGTGATTACCCAGGAGGAATGGGATGGGGACTGCCTCTGGATCAGACAAAGATGGCACCAGGGGTTTCTGTAGGGGTGGATTTTTAAGGAGGAAAAGGTAAGTCTGTGTTAGAATGGGTTGATGAGTCCTGATTGGACAGGTTAGTCAAATAATGAATTTTGGCTGCTGGACCTTGGTATTTTGATAATGAACCTGGGAGTTTTAGTCAGACATAGTGGCCGAATAAGGGGCTAGACTTTAGTGGCTAGCTTTAGGGATATAATCTAATGATTTAGCAAGGGAGAGGGATAGGGGAAAGGCAAGACCTGCCAGGACCATGTTTGCAATCCTTGGACCTGTTAGAGAATCCTTTGGTTCTCTCTTGGATCTTCTCTTAACAGTTATCAGGCCCAGTTCTGATTGTCAGGTTACTTGTGGGTCCTGGAGGCCATTTCCATGTCCCCTCCCATGTGATGGAAGTTACAGAAGCCACAAACCTCCATTTGCATCTCATCAGTGAACCCAGGAAAGGTGTCCATCCTTTGCCTCATTCCAACTTTCGTCTGTATCAACCCTATCACCACCACAAAAGAAAGGAAGGAAGGAAGGAAAGAAAGAAGAAAGAAAGAAAGAAGAAAGAAAGAAAGAAAGAAAGAAAGAAAGAAAGAGAAAGAAAGAAAGAAGAAAATAAAGAGAAAGGAAGGAAGGAAGAAAGGAGGGCACACCACAAAACTATTCCTCTCTCTTTTCTCAGTTAACCTTTCCCAGAGATTTATAGACACATATCTGTAAAAGGCACATGTATATATACACACACACACACTGCTACTACGATGCTGGTTTCTGAACTGCGTGAGGTGGAAGACACCACAGTTACCCTCTTTTGAAGCTCTGTGGATTCATGTGTCTTACTTTTCTTCTCACAAGTATCATCAACAAGCACATTTTCCTGGTGTGTGTTTCTCAGCCCTCTTGGCCCAAGGTTTACAAATGAGAATTCACAAATCTCTTTCAAATAAAGTTTTATTAGACAACAGACCTGCCCATTTGTTAACACATTGTCTATTGATGTCTATTGGTGTGATAGAGCTACTTTTCACAGTTAACTAGTTGCCAGGAAGACTCCACAGCTCATAGCCAAAAATATTAACTGTCTCACCCTTTTTAGAAAAGCTTGCCACGTGGTCTTAAGCCAAATTCCTCTCTACAGTTTCTATATCTCTTAGCTCTGATTTTTTAAATTAGAATTAAAATATTTTATTTATGCTCAGTTAATTTCTTATAAATTTTAAATTAGAAACAGTCTTATATATCAGTCCCAGTTCCCTCTCCCTCCCATCCTCCCATGTCCCCCATTGCCCCCCTTCCTATCCCCCATCCACTCCCCAGGGAGGGTGAGGCTTTCCATGAGGAATCATCAAAATCTGTCCAGTCATTTGGGGGCAGGGCCTAGGCTCTCCCCGTGCATCTAAGCTAAGAGAGTATTCCTTCATGAGAAATGGGCTCTCAAAGTCTGTTCATGCACTAGGGATACATCCTGGTTCCACTGCCAGAGGCCCCATAGAATGACCAGTGCTCCTAGTTGACACCCCCATTCAGGAGGCCTGGTTTGGTCCTATATTGGTTCCCCAGCTGTCAGACTGGGATCCATGAGCTCCCACTTGCTCAGGTCAGCTGTTTCTGTGGGTTTTTCCAGCATGGTCATTGACCCCTTTGTTCATCACTCCTCCTCTCTGAAACTGGATTCCAGTAGTTTGGCTCAGTGCTTAGCTGTGGATCTCTGGTTCTGCTTCCATCAGCTACTGGATGAAGGCTCTAGGATGGCATTTAAGGTAGTCATCATTCCCATTATAGGGGAAGGGTATTAAAGTAGTCTTTCCACTTTGCTTATGTTCCTAGTTGAGGTCATCCTTGTGGATCTCTGTACAATTCCCTAGTTTCAGCTTTCTCTTTAAACATATAGTGGTTCCCTGTATTGATGTGTCTCTTTTTTTGCTCTCCTCTCTTCCTCTCCACACTCAATCTTCCTGATTCTCTCAAGTTCTCCCCTCCTCTCCTCTTTCTTCTGCCTCCCTCTTCCCCCCCCCCCCATGTTCCCAATTTGCTCAGGGACTCTTGTCTCTTTCCCCTTCACTGAGGGACTCTATGTCTCTCTTACGGTCCTCTTTGTTTCCTAGCTTCTCTGGAGGTGTGGATTCCAGACTGGTAATTCTTTGCTCTATGTCTAATATTCATATTTGAGTGAGTAAATACCATGCTTGTCTTTCTGTGACTGGGTTACCTCACTCAGGATGGTTTCTTCTAGTTCCATTCATGTGTTTGCAAATTTCAAGATTCCATTGGGTGCCCCCCCCCCACTGAGTAGAACTCCATTGTATAAATGTACCACATTTTCTCTATCCATTCTTCAGTTGAGGGACATCTAGGTTGCTTCCAGGTTCTGGCTACTACAAATAATGCTGCTATGAACATAGTTGAACTGTGAACTGATGTCCTTGTGGTTTGAATGTGTATCCTTTGGGTATATGCCCGAGTGGAATTGCTGGATTTTGAGGTAGACTGGTTCCCATTTTCCAGAGAAACTGCCATACTGATTTCCAAAGTGGCTGTACAAGTTTGTACTCCCACCAGCAATGGAGAAGCATCCCCCTTTCTCCATATCCTCTCCATCATAGACTGTCATTAGTGTTTTTTTATTTTAGCCATTCTGACAGGAGTAAGATGGTATCTCTTGATTTGCATTTCCCTGATGTCTAAGGAAGTTGAGCACTTTCTAAGTGTCTTTCAGGCATTTTCAATTCCTCTATTGAGAATTCTCTATTTAGTTCTGTACCCCCACTTTTTAACTGAATTATTTGGTGTTTGGTGACTAGCTTCTTGAGTTCTTTGTAAATTTTGGAAATCAGTCCTCTGTCAGATGTGGG